TAATATTTACAAATGATACCTTACAAATGAGCACGCTGAGGTAGGAACTATACAAAATGAACTGGCGTGCGGTGGGAATGTGAGTAGCGCTGGATCTACCACTCTATAGATGTTTCTGATGGTCTGACTGGAGCGCGGTGGGACGGTGGGTGAGATCAGCACGAGGTCCGGATGCTCCTTTAGATGTCTTGGTAGATGTCAGTGATGGGGACGCGGTCGAACACACGACCGGCTAGCTGCTTGAACATAGCGCTGAACGCTTCCTGAGCCGGCCCTTGGATCTGCTTGTAGAAGAGCTTCCAGTCGCCGTTGAGGAAACCGTTGACCTGCTCGCTAACCTGGGAGTTGCCCTTGATGAGATCGGTGAAGTGGCACTTCATTTTCTTGGGCTCGATATTGACCTTGTAGTCGGTGATCGTCCAGTAGGTCTTGCCCTTCCTCTCAACAGGTTCGCCGGTAATAACATGTGTAGTGGCAACGTCATCTAAATATCACAAAGAAAATAATAATGATCAGCCGCTCATAAACGTGGACTGATGTCAAAACAATACCGAAACTAACATCTACAACAGGAATGTATTGATTTAAGAGTCGGATTGATAAACAAGTCTAAGAATTTCGTTCCGATATCAATTCGATATCGCATCAAAAGTCGTTTTTCTGGGTAAGTAATGGAAAGAAATACATTTAAAATTCTATTCTGTACTATTAAATTCTCGTACCGAACTCGAAGAAGGCGGGTCCGTCTCCTCGGACGGGCACCACAAGGATCTGCCCGGTCGCCTTGTACTGGAAGTCGAGCCGCAGGTGTTTAGTTTGCGCCTTCACAACGAGGACGTGCTTCTTGGAGTCCAGTCTGAGGATAAGAAATGAAAGGGTGTCTTCGATTAGGATATTATGAGCCGACCAGGATGTGGTAACTGAACTTTAACGATTGAATATCCGTCACGTTATTTGTTACAAGTTACAGCGCTAATCGATTAAAGCAAAATTAATTTTGTGCCAGGAAATGAACTTTTAACGTGAATAATGATCACCTTTTTAGTAATGGCATCATTCAGAAAGTACGAGAAAGGAAGGTCAAAAGGTCACGCAGCACAATTGGGCTCCGAGTGGAGCACCCCTCGAGCTGAGCAGGGATGTGCTTACTCGGCAGAGTCGACGGTGGTGCTATGCAGGCCGACGATGTTTAGGTCCTTGGCACTGAGGACGATTGAGATAGGGCCCGAACCCAGATCCAGGGTCATTTCATCTACGTGGAGGGGGTCGATAGGGGCAATACCCAGCGTCTTCTCGCCTGAAGAAGCAGACCGACAAGAGGTACGATGAACAATTGAGGCGATATAGCTACCAGAAAATGTAAGCCTTTCCGAACTCCCCCTTACCATCTTTCAACGAGTGGAGCGCGTCCTCGATGGCCTTGGCAAGGCAGGTGGAAAACTCAACGTCGTTCACATGGCAGGTCTGGAAGTTCGAAGCTGGAAAACACCGCGACCGTTGACCATTTCGGTTTTGTGTTTGCAATCGGCTGAGGAGCGTAAACCCCTCTGTCAGCATTCTATACTACTCACGAAGCTTGGCAGAGAAGCTGAGGCCGCTCAGCGCGAGGAGGACCAACACCTTGGCCAACATGTTGTCCGAAGGAAACAAAACGGGGGGACGGTTCGACTGGACGCTGCTGGCAGCTTCTGCTTGACAGATCGCGTGCTGGAGTTTGGATGCTACTGACGCTTCCAGGCGCAGCGTCCGCGTATATGTATGACCCCTGGGTGAGGTGGGGTGGGGCGGGCGGTGGTGAGGCTGCGGACACGCCGGTCAAGCCAAGCAACCAGGAGGAAAAATATGAGAAAAATCTGAGAGGAGGGGAGGGGCGGTGGCAATCATTTGACTGGTCAAGTGACGGCAAACGCTGCTTCCGACGAAGTGTGTTCCTCGTCATAATGCTATGGCATTATTACCGCTTGAAGAAGTCACTAATTAACACCCCCGAAATTATTTTTGTTTCACTGTTCAACAATGAAGTGGAGAGGAGCAGCAGAGTGAACCAATTCACAGAGGACACAAGATGTTCAGTGGCGCGCGACCATAGTGTGGTCGCGGATCAGATACCGCTTGTCAAGCCCCACTCAATGTGTTAGTGATACGTGTGAGTGGGCTGTGCTGTGCGCTACTAAACGTGAGCGAAATTAATGGCAATCCAATAATTAGGTGCGTCACAAAATGTCTTCGGCTATCACTGTCAAACGATACGTACGGTATTAAATAATTTAAAAATCAATGTCGTATTGAAAATTAATAGTTAAAAACTGTTATTTCGTGTCGCTCGCCTTGCAGTTTACAATAAAAATTTAACATTTATTACCTGTAATTTTGGTAAACGGTTTCTATCCGTTGTAAAATTGTAGAATTTTGTTTACACTGTACGGTAAACCGGTTGTCATAAGTGCGTTGCTGCGTGCTTAGCAACTGTATAAGCACATTTTATCTCACTGTTTTGGAAACTCAAGTGTCGTGTGACAGTATGACAGTTTAAACTGTCATACCATTTGTGTACTACAGTTTTAAGTGTAGTACACGCAATGTGTACTACAGTTCTTTGTGTAGGACACCGCGTGTCCGACAGCTACTAATGACGCTTTTAATTGTCGGACACGTCGTGTACCACACTTAAACTGTAGAACACAAATGGTATCACAGTTTAAACTGCAGTACAGTTGGTATGACAGTTTAAACTGTCATACTGTACGACACTCGAGTTTCCAGAGTGGAGTACACTGTAGTGGGTGTTCGGTACACGCGCCACTGCCACTGCAGACACTGGAAACCCCGCAATGGCGCATGCCGATCACTGGATGATGACCCCGCGCGAATGTCAGTTCTCGTGGAATAATACAAAAGTAAACTTAATTAAATTTTCGATTGCATCATCGGATTTTCCTTAAAATTTACGATCAAACGAGCTCATATGTGATTGGGTTTAGAGTACAAACGAGAGCAATGCTAAGGACGTTGACTTGCATGGCCTGAGAGCACATCAGAACCCACCACTTGTCACATGTGCTCGTTTGATCGTAAGTAGTGATCGACATGCGCCTTTACGCAGTTTCCAGTGGATGTGTTTTCCTACTCTTCCTGCCCTGCCCGAAAGACCGGAAGACGCCGTGTCCCCTGTAAATAGGCAAACCGGCCCGCGCCGACGCGTGCTGGGAAACACGCAGAACAGTGTAGGCAAGGGTGTCTCTCCTTGCACCTTAGTCGCCGCACAGGTTCTACGGTCGGGCAACTGGGCAACTTAAGCTGCACGACGGACCCTCCATGTTTGAAAAGCAGTCACCTCGGGTTGGAATTGCGAACAATGAGGAAGAAGGTGAGGAAGTGGAAAAGGGGGGGGGGGCAAAGACTGTAGAAAGTAACCTTGTTTTTTGGCCTTTATTTGCAAAGGAAAAGAGCCGGCGGACAACAACTTTATTATCTTTTTGTTGAATGCAAGAATCAGTACAGGTAAATAAATAGAACTGTACTGTTCCTTTAACGAAAACATTTATTCAGATTAGATGTTTTGCGTGGCCAACGACCTTCACTGCAAAAAGGAAGGTGCCAAATTTAGCACCCTTGGGAGTTTTATTGTCTTTCTAGACGCACGAAAGCATTCGCACCTGTAAATGGTGACGAATCGCACCTTCGTTTTCCCATTAATTGTCGGCACTTGCTCTTCAGTCAGATGCAACAAAATAATTATAACAAAAACAATAATAATACTAAAAACAACAATAACAACAACAGCAATAACACTCATAACATCATATTTCGTTTTTAATCAGTCATTTTTTGTTTCTTAAAGATAAAAAGCGACTCCATTTTTAGTGCGATGGAGAGGTGGACTAGAGTAACATGCAAATTTTGACTACAATTCGTCCAGCTTTATCCCAATAAGCGGGCAATGCGAGGCTTGGTCATCTTTTCCCTTGCCTTTTCCCCTCGGTATCACATGTCCCGGTCTGGTGCGCTTAACATACGAAATAATCACACCCATCCCATATGTAGGGTACTAGTGTAGCGGAGCCTTAGCTGGCAATTTATCGAGAAGCATTGTAGTTCACTTCAGTGAAAAGAAAAAAAGAAAGGAATTGTCAACGTCATTTGCATGCCACTCATATTGAGAAAGCCATTTGCATACGACGATAAAACGGATTAAATATTCAGTCATGTCCCCGATTAGCTTCCTTCTCGTCGGTTTGTAGTGATAGTACAGAACACCAAACTCAAGCCACCTTAAGAGTCTCAACAAGATCCAATAAAACGTAGAAATGGCATGGTAATAAACATCATTGACGTCGTGTTCGCAAGTCGTCTGGCGTGTGGCGGAATGTTTTGGCGTGCGCGAAGACTATCAATCTTATTACGTTGTTCGTGACCCACCTGCGCGTCAAAACATGACCCATTTCGCCTCCTCGTCCCACCTTCTCCACGCTCCACGCTCCTCAGTTCCACGGCCTCCAGGCGCTGTTCGCTGCCCCCGGGAGCTCCTGCGCGGCGGCCGCAGAGGCGCCGGCCGACGGCCCCCGAGTCCTGCCCGGGCGACCGAGCAGCGCATCGGCCTGGCTTTTCTTCTCGCCGAAGGAAGGCGCGAGGAGCGGCTGGGCGCCCACCTGCAGGCTGGCGCTCACCGGCACCCACCCCGCGTACGACAGGCCCCGCGGGTGCTGGCGCGAGGGGGCCTTGGAGTGCAACCACGGCGCGGCCGCCTGCGGCACGTACCCCTTCGGGGGCGCGCGCCGGTCGCCGGCGGGGGTGGACGCCGACAGGTGCAGGGCGTGGCCGAACAGCACGGGGCCTCGGTTGTGGCCCTTCACCGCGCCGCGCTTGTGGCCCTGTTGTTGTTGCTGCTGCTGCTGCGGCTGCTGGGCGGGAGCCACCGTCGCCTTCTGGTGGGAGGCCTCCTCCTTGCCGCGCACCTTGGACTTGGAGCCGAAGGACCACTGAGGACCCCAGTCGGCGGTGGGCCTGGGTGCCTCGACTAGGTCAACCGAGCTGGGCGTGGCGGGCTGAAACGTGGACGGGCGTGCCACCGTCAGTCGGGCCGCCGTCAGCGGGGTAGTGCCGTACCTGCCCGGGCCGCGCTCCCTCTCCCGCTCGCGCTCCCACTCCCGCTCCCGCTCCGCGCCCTGTAGCGCCTTGCTCTGCTGCGTGCGCCGCGCCTTGGCGCGCTCCTTCTTCACCCACGTCGGGACGTCCTGGGAGTCTTGCGCGGTCACCTCGCTCGGGCTCGGCCTGTCCATCCCCGGCCAGTCGTTGCCCTCAAAGAGCTTGCTGAAGCCGGCCACCTCGCCCCAGGCCGGGCCCAGGAGCTGCTCCATCACCCCGCCGTGCTGAGCCTGGGCCGGGCCGCGGGCCGGGCCGTGCTGGGGACCGTGCACCAGGATGGGCTGCTGTGGGGGCCCGACGGGCACGCGAAGCTCAGCGGCCTGCTGCATGTGCGCAGAGTGCAGCTGGGCGAGCTGCTGCTGCTGGTAGATCTGCTGCTGCTGCTGTGACTCGGGCGCGTAGACCGGCCTGTGGAACTGGAGCGGGTGCCCCTGGGTCTGAGCGTGTCCGCTGCCCTGCAGGGCCTGCTCGGGCACGAGCTCGTGGTCGTCGTCCGGGTTGTGTTCGTTCTCCTTGTCGTCGGCCTCGCCTCGATCCTCGTCTTCCTGGTTTCCTTGCTGCTCCCTGTCGTCGACGCTGTGGCCATACGCGTTGGGACGATCCCGATCCCCACCATCGTCGTCCTGATGGCGCAGATCCTCGGACACCCGGTACTGCTCGGACTGGGTAGGCCTCTCCTCCACCTGCCTGTCGTACTGCCTCTCATCCGAATCCGATTCCTCATCAGAGGGTCGCTCGGAGTAGGGGGATGACGATCCGGCATTAGAGGACCCCTCCCCGGACGGCTGCTCGGAGTAATTCGACGAGGATTCGTCGTACGACCTGTCGTCCTCGCCCCGTGGACGCCCCGAGGAACTGCTGTACGAGGGTGCGCCCTCTTCATACTGGGGCGCAGAGTACGACGAAGAAGGAGGTAAGCCGCTGTACGAGGACGCGCCCTCGCCGTAGGGCTGCCGAGCGTGTGTCGCAGCCGAGCCGCTGTCATACGGGGCATCCTCGTCGCCCTGGTGGTTTTGGTGAGACTCCCCGGCGTAGTACGAAGACGGCGGGGTGCTGTACGAGGTCGGCCTCAGCGTCGTAGATGTCTGCGTGTAGGAGGCGGGCCGGGGCCGGGTGCTGTACGACCGCTTGTCGACAGGCGGTCGGTCTGAACCTGAAGACGGCGTCCTGGTCGAGGTGTAGGACCTTTCGGAGGCCGACTCTTCCAGCTGGTATGGCTCGGCCAGGGTTTCGTCCGCAGGAAGCGTCTTTTTCGCCTTCTGCAAGGCCGGGTGGTTGTCCTCGGAGGCGCTCTCCTTCGCCGCCAACAGCGCGTCCTGCCACGCCGCCTCGTCCAGCTCCAGAGCGCCGCCCTGGTGCTCCAGATCCTGGTGCTGGTCCGCATCCGTCATCTCCCTGCGTTAAAGGAAACAAATTGTAGAGCGCACGAAAATGGGAGTCCCAAGCTCTGAACTTTGCCATGTCGTGTCGGGTGGCATTTATGAAAGGTCCATGCGGTTTTTCACGTATTATTGTCAAACACAACAAAAAAAAGGCCACGACTGTCTCCTCGTGTCCAGGAGTGACCCATGAGAGACCATGGACGTTTCACAGCGCTTGTTCGAGTCTTTCATGTAGACCACACAAATGCCGATGTGATTACACTGCATGGGCGTAGTTTCGTCGATATCAAAAAGTCATAAGAAATGTTTTTTTTGCCACAATTATTTATGTAAGCCTCTTGACTCATTTTCCTAATTATACAGAGTGGCCGCTGCCCCGTAGTTTTGAAAAGGTAGACCAGCCCGCTCACAGACGGAGCGGGTAGGTGGCAGGGGACGCGAGAGGTAGGTGCGGGCGGGCTAGTCTACCTTTTAAAAACGACGGGGCAGAGCGGCCACCCTATATGTAACACATCTTACCCCGGCTGCAGTTTGCCCTTGTTGTGGCCGTAGAGAGGCCGGCGCTGCACTGTAGCGTAGAAGCCGCTGCTGTCCGCCTCGTAGTGCACGGTGCGCCAGTGGCCGTCCGGGTCCCGCAAAAAGTACGCGCCCCACACGTCCTCGCCCGAACGCTTCTCCCAAGCGCCCTTCACGTCACCCGTCTTGCGCGAGGCCACGGCGTAGCGGTAGTGGTAGTTGGGCTCGGCCTGCAACAACGGGGAGACAACACGTGACAACACGAGGGAGATATAGAACGTAATAAAACTAGGGAGATGTTCGCCGGACCACGTCTCGCGTGCAGGATTCGAGATATCTCACGAACCACGCCTGCGACGCGCCTGGCATACATCCGAGTCGAGCAAAAGGCACAGGCCGTAAATAGGCCTTCGGCCTTAAAAGTCAGAAATTTTGCTCCTTAGCGTTTCATTTTAACGAGTTACCCCACCGGAGACCATCAAATATCTGAGAAAAAACATTACAATGTTTTGGTGTCATTTCCGTGAGGAAAATTCTCTCTGGCGCCTCAAGAGAAACGGACGAAATTTCGGTGCTACGTGTTTTACTGTGACGGATTACCAGGACACCTTTCAAAATTCTGTGAAAATTAGCAATATTTTCCAAATGCTTCTTAGATAGCCCGTGCTCGGCCAATTTTTGAGCGAGAGGGCTAAAAATCAAGACAGTTCTTGATTTTTATGATACAAAGTTACAATAGAAATTTTAAGTACCTAGCTGAAACCGTTCTCGGGTTATCGTGATAACACAGACAGACAGACAGACAGACAGACAGACAGACAGACAGACAGACAGACAGACAGACAGACAGACGTGAAACTTTTTGATCATAAGTGGAGTAATAGGCTTCGCTAATCGCTTAGCCAATTAATTTTGTGCTAAGGCATAAACTCTTTCTTTAACTTAAATTATATAGCGCTTGTTGTGGCGTGGGATCACCCATACAGAGCGTCTGTCTGCTAAACCCCCGTGGTTAGCTAATGCACGGTGTCATAGCGCCTGCTAGGTAGGCCACATCCTGCCGGTAGCGCATGCGTGTACTGCGGGGGTGGGGTGGCCTACCCTGAGTTTCGCAGGCGCCGAGCTCCTTTAATTTGCCGAATGATCGAATGAATCTGAGAAACGGACGATCCCTACGAAAAAAAAATCCTGCGTATGCACAAATTTGCTAGCCAAAATGCAAAGCAGACAAACTAGGAGAGTAAAAA